AAAAAAAAAAAAAAAAAAATTAAAACTCTCTTTTTTTTTTGGTCACCCATTCCTAGCTTTGATTCATAGATTTGACAAGCATACTTTCTAGGTCTTTACATGTGTCAAAGAAAGAATTATTAAGAGGCCCAGGCCTTCAATGGAAAGCTTTCTTTATTTTATGTTAACACATTAATTAATCTTTAGTTACAATAGTTTAGTGCATTTCTAGTTAACCTAATTTGCTAATAACCACACAAATTCCTCTACTTCCTTCAATACAAGGCTAATGTGACAGGAAAGTGAAGTCAGGAACAATAGATATTGCTTCATGACAATGAGGTATTTGCTACTTCAGTCAAAACCATGGAATTGCTTCTGAAGCCATGTTTTTCCACCAAAGATGGCATTCCCTGTTGCTATGGTTTGAATGTGCCCTCCAAATTTTATATGTCGGAAACTTAATCCCCACATTCTTACGTTGATTTAAGTTGGAGCCTTTGGGAGGCAATTAGGATTAGACAATAGACAAAGTAATCAGGGCACAGACCCCATTATGGTCCTGGTGGCTTTATAAGAAGAGGAAGAGAGGCCTGAGCTGACACATGCTCTCACCGTGTGATATCCTCTGCCATGTGAGGATCCAGCAAGATGCCCCACCAGGTGTCGGTGCCACGTTCTTGGACTTCTCAGCCCCCAAAAGTATAAGAAATCTCTAGTCTTTATAAATTATCCAGCCTCATATATTCAACTACAACTACAGAAAATGGACTAAGACATCTACTGGAAGTCTCTGCCTTATCTACTGTGCTTGTCACTGAACAAGTTTTGGTTATTTATTTATTTATTTATTTTTGAGTTGGAGTCTCACTCTGTCACACAGACTGGAGTGCAGTGGCCGCTCCTGGCCACTGCAGCCTTGACCCGCTGGGCTCCAGCGATCCTTCCACCTCAGTCCGAGTAGCTGGAATTACAGGCGCGTGCTACCACGCCCGGCTAATTTTTTGATTTATTGTAGAGATGAGGTCTTGCCAAGTTGCCCAGGCGGGTCTCAAACCTGCGAACTCAAGCAATCCACTCACCTCAGCCTCCCACAGGTGCGGGATTACAGGCTGAGCCACCGAGCCTGGCAAGTTTTGGCTATTAAGAGATCAAGTCTCAAAGAATAAAGATTTGGGCCAGGCGTGGTGGCTCAGTCTGTAATCCCAACATTTTGGGAGGCAGGGGTGAAAAGATTGCCTGAGCCCAGGAGGTTGGAGACCAGCCTGGGCAACTTGGTGAGACCTCGTCTCTGCAATATATCATGCACACACACAAAAAAAGAATAAAGATTTGCCCTTGTTAAGGATGTTCAAATAATATATCACAGATTTCTCAGTAAAGTCCAAAAGAGGAATTCTAAGTAGGTTTAGGAATAAGTATAGTCTCCCAAATCTATTCTTTTAAAGGGGGCAAAACGCAAGTTGGAAGTGAAGTTTTGCTGTATTTGTTAAACAATGAGAGATAGCTTAACCCACTAGCCAAACACATGAGCTTTGGCCTGGTTCTATCACTTGCCAAGTGTTTGACTTTGGGCAAGTTTATTAGGTTTTTTGTGTTTTTTTAGTTGGAGTCTCTGTCATCTAGGCTGGAGTGCAGTAGCATGCTGCACTCATGGCCACCGTGGCCTTGATCTGCTGGGTTCAGGTGATCCTTCCGCCTGTCTTCCAAGTAGCAGGAACTACAGGCACGTGCCACCATGCCTGGCTAGTTTTTTTATTTACTGTAGACACGAGGTCTCACCAAGTTGCCCAGGCAATCCTCTCACCTCGGTCTCCCAAAGTGCTGGAATTATAGGCTTGAGCCACTGCGTGCGCCGTGTTTTTTAGTTCTTAGCATAATACCTGACATCTAGTGAGAGCTATTTCTAAAAGTGTGATACTGTAAAATATATGATATATATTAGGATTAGACAATAGACAAAAATATTATATATAATATATAAGATCCAATAGATAACATATTATATATGCATAGTCTATGTGTATAATATTTGGCCTTCAGCCCCATTACCTGGCCAACAACTCTCCAAAGTGATGTCTTTTGGTGTGCTAATGAGATGACTGGTGGCTGGGAGCCCCTAGGTGTCTTCGTAACAGGGGCTGGTCACCAAAAGTCCAGGGCAGGATTGGCGGGGTAGGACTTTCAGCCCCAACTTCCAGAGAGGGGGGAGGGCTGAAGGTTAAGTTGCTCACTGATGGCCAATGCTGAAATCAGTCATAATAAAGTCTCCATAAGAACCCAGGAGGACTGGGTTTGGAGAACTTCCAGGAAGCTGAACACGTGGGGCGTTTCTGGAGGGTGGCATGCCGGGGAGGGCACAGAAGCAGCATGTCTTTTCCCACATGCGTCGCTGTGTACATCTCTTCATCTGTATCCTTTGTACTGTCCTTTATAATAAACCAGCAAGCATAAATAAGTGTCCCTGAGTTCTGTGAGCCACTCTAGCAAATTAAGAGATTCCAAGAAGGGAGTCGTGGGACCCCTGATTTATAGCCTGCCTATCAGAAGCATAGGTACAGGTAACATAACCTGGAATTCAATACGTATCAGAAGTGGGGGCTCAGCCTGTGGTTTTGTTTTGTTTTTTTTTTTTGCGTTGGAGTCTCACTCTCTCGCCCAGGCTGGAGGGCAGTGGCACACACCTGGTCACCGCAGCCTTGACCTGCTGGGCTCGGGCGATCCTTCTGCCACAGCCTTCCAAGTAGCTGGAACAACGGGTATACGTCACCACACTAATTTATTTATTTATTTATTTATTGTAGAGATGTGGTCTCGCCCAGTTGCCCAGGCTGGTCTCAAACCCGTGGGCTCAGGCAATCCTCTCACTTCGGTCTCGCAAACTGCTGGGATTACAGGTGTGAGCCACCACAACCTGTAGTTTCTGAGGCTATCTCTGGGTAGATAGAGTCAGAATTGAATTGATAGAGGACACCAGCTGGTGTCTGCTGCAGAATGGCTTGTCTGCTTGGTGGATGGGGGAACTTCCCCCAACACTTGCTCACAGAAGTCCTCTATGTTGATTGTTGTGATAAGAGAGTAGAGGACAAACAGTTTGAGTTTTTCCATTCAAGGAGAACTAGTGTTGACTGAGTATCTAGTTATATTAGATACTACATAAAGTGCTTCACATGCTGTATCATTTTTTCCCTAACAATTCTATGAAGCAGACACTTCTGTCATTCCCCAATCACAGATGAGAAGATTGAGGCACAAACGATTGCGACAATTTGCTTAGGTAAAAATGGCAGAAAGGAGGTACACCAAGTCTATAGGACTCCAGACCCAGATCCCAAACACAATTCTATCCTGCTAGTCCCTGAATATAGATATAATCTCCACTAGGCCTGATAACTTTAGAAGTCTGAGTGGGAGGGATACCAACAACCAGCCAGTCAGGGAGTTGGGGGACGCCAAGGGCTCTTCCATGCCATGGGCTCACCTTGGTGATTTGCCAGGGTGAAGTTCTGGTCCTCAGCCATATGGGCTTGGAAATCCAATCAGCGCTGGGCACGGTGGCTCACGCCTGTAATCCCAGCAGAGGTGAGAGGATTACTTGAGCTCAGGGGTTCGAGACCAGGCTGAGCAAAATGGCGAGACCTCACCTCTATAATAAATTAAACAGTTAGGTGGGCAAGGTGGCACATGCCTGTGGTTCCAGCTGTTGGAAGGCTGAGGCGGAAGGATTGCCTGAGTCCAGCAGGTGGAGGCTGCAGTAGCTGTGAGCGTGCTACTGCACTCCAGCCTGGGTGACAGAGTGAGATTACAACCCCTCCCCACCAAAAAGAAATCTAATCAGCGAACACACAGACTATTGAGCAGGCTCAATTCCTAGAGGCTGGGATTCAAAACCAGAAGACCAGTTTATTCATAAAATGTAGAATAAAAATATAAATACATGGCCAAGGGCCAAAACATTCTCGTCCTGTGACTAGCACTTGAGAAGTCAGATGGTGAGAGTAGGTTGCTTGCAGAGTATAGAACCAGAAACGAGGGAGGCTGTTTTACGTTATAAATATTTACAGGCCATGATAGATGTAAACCCATTCAACTCCAACTTGGCTGCCTCCAGAACGGGCAGGCTAGTACCACCTCTCACCTACAAACACTTGAAGAAACACCACCAGCACATGCCTCGGAGACCCTCTTTCTTCTAACTTTTCAGGGCTGACCAGCTCTGCTACTGACTGATGTGTTTTTTCTTGAATTGGGGTTAATTTTTTTTAGGTTACTGCATGATTTTGACCCCCAGGGAGTCATTCTTCCTCTTTACTAAGAATCTGAACAACTATACTTGGATCCATTGTGCATTGATTTCAAGGTTTAAATCCGAAAGGGCAACTTGAGTTCCAAGTTCTTGGTGGGAAGTCCTCTCACTGAGGCCCTAAAGTACTGACAGTGGCAGCAGGAGACAGGACCCCTCCTTCCCCGTGGAAGCCGCCTTCTCCTTTCTGAAGGTTTTGCTGACTGGCTCTCCAATCAGAAACAGAGACTGTCGCCACTGGATTTTTTCCTGTCTCCCAAAAACTAAAGGATAACAAACACTGTTTCTTTAGCTACCAAAGAGACAGACTGCTTGGAGAAAGATTTACATGGCTCTGCAGACACCCTGGCTGTGCCAGCTCTGGGGGAGTCGGTGCACACGGTGTGAAGCAATTTTTTTCCCCTTGGCTCTTTGCCGTAGATCCAGGCGGCCACAGCAACAATCAGTGGCTCCTGCTCTCATGCAGAGCTTCCAGAATGCCTGGGCGTCTCCTGATGATAACAACTAGTGAAAGAGAAAGAAGTCCTATTAGCTGGAGCAGGCAAGAGGACAGTTAAAGGAGGAAAGTTGTCCCCAGAACCTTTGGACCCAGGGTAACTGCAGAGCCTAACGTCATGAAGCACAACCCTACGCTGCCAGAATCTACAGCATGACACCCTGCACAGGGAAAGAACAGAGTGGACAAACTCCTCTCCTTTTGCATCTTCAGAGCACAGGGAAAAAGAGGAGGGTCCTGGGAACGAGGCTGGGGAGCGGAACTTTTCCAGCACTATCCAGTTTGGCAAAGCCAAACTGGGAAAGCACAAGAACGGAAGAACCTCAGGTAGACCCAGAGCCCCTGGTACACGGACACAGAACACCAGATACACTTGATGATACCCACAGCCCCTCCCTCGAGGATCTCTAGCAGGGCTGACCAGGGCAGTCAAACTATAGTTCCTGATTCTCTTCACTGAAGGCCCACCAGGGCTCTCAACTGTCAAGTCTCCTCACCCAAGGGACTACGATTTCTTATAATATCCCACCTCCCTCCAACAGTCACACATTCAAGTGAAGCTCCCACCAGCATTCAAGGGCTAACTTTTTTTCTTTTTTGAGCTGGAGTCTTACTCTGTCGCCTAAGCTGGAGTGCAGTGGCACACACACAGCCACCACAACCTCAACCTACTGGGCTCAGGTGATTCTTCCGCCTCAGCCTTCCAAGTAGCTGGAATTACAGGCACGCACCACCATGCCTGACTAATGTTTTGATTTACTGTAGAGATGTGATGTCGCCAAATTGCCCAGTCTGGTCTTAGACCCATGGGCTCAGGCAACCTTCTCACCTCGGCCTCCCAAAGTGCTGAGATTATAGGCGTGAGTCACCATGCCCAGCCGAAGGGTTAACTTAATCGGAAGACTTGGCCCCGTGAGGGCTCCAGATTCTTGCAAGTTTGTTTTTTCAACATTCCCCTCTGTGCACTCCCCTCTTAATTGGCCCTACCCACTGAGGTAGATTCCAGATCCTTCTCCTCTGTCTTTAGCTTGGCTCAAGCCTCTGAACCCCTCCACTGCAAGGTCTAAAAGCAGGGAGATGGCCAAAATAGGCAGTCAGGGAAGCGCACAGGCATTCCTATTGCATCTGCTCAGTCTCTCAGCAAACCTCACGTCAGGAGATGTCTCAGGGCTACAGGCTGGGCCAGAGACAGTCTCCCCTTCCTCAGAGAGGAGGTCTGAGGCATGGAGAAAGGTCTCCCAGAGGCTGTCTGCTGGGTGTTGAAAGTTAGAGACACTGCTGCTGAACGTGGGTGTTCCCCAGAGACTCCTTTAGGATGGAATTCCCAGGTCTGTCTGAGCTGTCCCTGATGTTGCTTTGGATGTCAGTGGCTCTCAGAGGAGCTGCCATGCATGGATGTCCCAGGTAACTGCTATTGTTGTTATTCTTCCCAACAAAGCCAGACAACAGTGATAGGCTGCAACTTTAGCAAGGGTCATCTGACTGATTAAAAACATTTGTTGAACATCGGCATGTGCAGTGCACCACTTGAGATGTGGAAGGGAACAAAAAGAAATAAGAAAACGAATTTTCCCCTCTAGGAGGCCACATTCTAATGGAGACACGGGTGCACACTGTACTATAAAGTGAGGACCCAGAGCTCCTGGTCTGTGGACAAGTGACAGTAATAGTGTTCACACCTGGTAACGCCAAAGGAGAGCATTTTCACCTGCAAGGCCATGAGGCAGATGCTTGGGATCTCCTGAGCTAGCCTGATTCTGTTTTTGTCTAAGAAGCCAATGCCAAGGTCAATGAAGGCAGTTGTAACACATTAAGCACCATAAATAAATATTTAGTAATGCCCTGTGTGCATCTAACAGGAGCCCAGTAGTTTCTTTTAAAAATGATCTCTTTTAAATTAGCGAAACAGTTCGGGCTTGGTGGCTCAGCCTGTAATCCTGCACTTTGGAAGGCTGAGGCGAGTGGATTGTCTGAGTCCATGGATTTGAGACCAACCCGGGCAACTTGGTGAGTCCTTGTCTCTACAATAAAAAATAAGAGATCAGCCAGGCATGGTAGCATGCACCTGTAGTTCTGGCGACCTGGAAGGCAGAGGCAGAAGGATCGCCAGAGACCAACAGGTCGACGCTGGGGTGGCTGCGAGTGTGCTGCTGCATTCCAGCTTGGGTGACAGAGTGAGACTCCAACTCAAAATAAGTTAAATAAATAAATACGTGAAACGGGTTGATCCGTCAGTCACTCACCTGTAATAGCAAGAAACCTGGAAGTTGCATTTCCCTTTCCTGTTCCCCAGGGTAACACACACTAGAACAAACAGGGTTCACAACCAGGAATAAAGGTGACTCATGCTCTTAGGCTTCCTCTCCTTTTAGAACACACTGATTGAAGACTTGGAATGGAACGCCATTCGTTCTCACAGGGAAAGAGATGAAGTCGCCAGAGGAGAGAGGTTAGGAAGGAGCAGAGACACGAGGTGAAGAAACTGGAGGCTGTGGCTATGGCACAGCTTTTGACAAAGTCTCTTCATCTCAGAAGATAGGGCTGTTCTGGGGAGATTATATTCCAGGTGGAAAGGCGAGCATGAGTAGAAATCATACATGTTCTGGCTCAACATCCTAGGGGAAGTAAGTCGTGACAACATCAACAGTATCTTTTTTTTTTTTTTTTTTTAGTTGGAGTCTCACTGTGTCACCCAGGCTGGAGTGCAGTGGCATGCTCACGGCTACCACAGCCTCAACCTGCTGGGCTCAGGCGATCCTCCTGCCTCAGTCTTCCAAGTAGCCGGAACTACAGGTGCGTGCTACCACACCCAGCTATGTTTTTGATTTATTGTAGAGACGAGGTCTCCCCAAGTTGCCCGGGCTGGCCTCGAACCCCTGGGCTCAGGCAGTCCTCTTGTGTCGGCCTCCCAAAGTGCTGGGATTACAGGCTTGTGCCACCGTGCCCGGCCCACGAACAGTATCTTATTGACCTGGTCCCAGTCCAGGGCTTCCAAGTCTTAGAAAACCTGAAAACAAAATCGACAAGGGTACAGGCATAATCGAGAATTACCAGTGGAGAGGAGGCGGACCTTTCCCAGGGCTGAAACCTCAACGGTGACATTAAGCAACCTCAGGTTAAGAGCTAACCTGAAATCCAGGAGAGGCAGCCCAAGGCACACAAGAGATGGGTGAGGAACAGGAACATTTTATCTTTTCCATAATTGTACTCCAAGATGCTGACATGAAGGGAAACAGCGCGGTGAACTCCTCCTATCCTGGGCTCTTGGCCTTCTAGTTTAAAAGGAAGGATTGATGTCTCTCCCTCCAGTGAGTTCTTATAGGCGTTTTTCCTCCTGTATGATGCCTTTGCTATTTCTTCTATTCATAATTGTCACATAAGCCCGTGCCTGCTATTTAAGTATTCATGTTTATTTTTGAATAAACTCTTCACTGCTTGAGGGCTTCATACCTTCAGTGGTAACTAGCTCAGCTGCCTACTCTTATTGGGTCTTTAGGAAACGTTGCTGGATTTCATGTTATAGGAGAACTGGACTTCAAGGGTCAACAGCTGCAAGGTCTGGCAATCCATAGGTCTGGCCAAGAATTTCCACGAGGCAAGGCAACGTTTGGCAATTACAAGGGCATTCCAGTGAAGTGAAGAGGAGTGTCAGATTTTGCAATAGTTCTGCAAATAAAATAGATTTTCTGGAGTGGCTGGGTTCTCGGAAAAACATGTGCTGATGGCAAAGAGGAATCTTGATCCTCACCTCTGTGGAGATCATGCGAGATAGAATCCCTGCCAGATTCAAACAGAAAGAGATGACATGAATACATGTTCTGAATTCTACATGGCATTATGCTAGGTATTACACATGCAGAATATTGCCCTCAAGCTTAAAATCGTAATAGGGAGTCAAAGTGCATGTGCATCAAATAACGAGGGAACGACATGAATGTTACATTAAGCTGAAGAAGGCATCCTAAGAGGGAAGGTAGTCTTGAGATGAGTCTTTGCTACTCTATCCTCAGGTCATTTGAAACATAATAAAGTTTATTGCTTTAACACCACCCCCACCTTACCCTCACCTATTAATATTTCAAGATAGCCTTTCATTTGCCTCCTGGGACGATGTGCCTAATATCCCTTTAGCTTTTGACTTAGGCTCTAAAATCCTAACTTGCAGATTAAGCCTCACTCCATTTCAAGGACTCCAATCCTCTCTGCTAGAAAAACGTGAGGAAGCCGGGTCATTAGTTCAAAAAGTCAGTCTCAGGGGCAATCAGAGGGAGGAGATTCCTGACATTTGCTTCCTAGGACTAAATTTCTTTTTTTTTTTTTTTTTTGAGTTGGAGTCTCACTCTGTCGCCCAGACTGGAGTGCGGTGGCTGCTCCCGGCCACCGTGGCCTTGACCTGCTGGACTCTGGCGATTCTTCCGCCTCAGCCTTCCAAGTAGCTGGAACTACAGGCGTGCACTACCACACCTGGCTGATTTTTGATTTATTGTAGAGATGAGGTCTCGCCAAGTTGCCCAGACGGGTCTCGAACTCGCAGGCTCAGGCAATCCACTCACCTCAGCCTACCAAAGGCGCGAGATTACAGGCTGAGCCATCGAGCCCGGCAGGACTAAATTTCTTGCAGTAACTTCTCCCATGGATAGAATTACAGCCCCCCTGGTCTGGTGCAGTCGCTCACGCCTATAATCCCAGAGCTTTGGAGATGAGATTGCCTGAGCCTATGGGTTCGACACTAGCTGGGCAACATGGTGAGACCTCATTTCTACAATAAATCAAAAAATTAGCTGGGTGTGATGGCATGCGGCTATAGTTTCTGCTACTTGTAAGGCTGAGGCGGAAGGATCGCCTGAGCCCAGCAGGTCGAGGCTGTGGTAGCTGTGAGCGTGTCACTGCACTCCAGCCTGGGGTTTCTCTCTGGTTTCTATGGCCAGGTTTTTTGGATGTCAACTTTTTGTGCACCTGAATCTGTATAAATTATCTAATACTTCTTTAATTTAACATTCTGAACCTTGGATTCATTTTGGATTTTTTTTTTTTTTTTTACCGTAAGTAAAAACGTTCTACCACAGTCCTGGGGCTAGTTCTAGTAGGAGAATTACAGGAAAGGCAGTACACTGGAAGCCTAAGGGTCTCATTTTAAATGTGTCTGGCTACAAGGCAAGATGAGAGCCGGGCTCGGTGGCTCAGCCTGTAATCCCGCGCCTTTGGGAGGCCAAGGTGAGTGGATTGCCTGAGCCCGCGGGTTTGAGACCTGCCTGGGCAACTTGGCGAGACCTCATCTCTACAATAAATCAAAAATCAGCCGGGCATGGTAGCGTGCGGCTGTAGTTCCAGCTACTTGGAACTGAGGTGGAAGGATAGCCAGAGCCCAGCAGATCGAGGCTGCGGTGGCCGGGAGTGGCCACTGCACTCCAGTCTGGGTGACAGAGTGAGACTCCAACTCAAAAAAAAAAAAACAACAACAATACAAGGCAAGATGAGCTCACAGTTATTGACTTGTTTGTGATACACAGAAAATTTCTGCTTTAAAGCATGAGGCAAGGAGAAGGGTATTTCAGAAAGAAAAAAAAAACAGCATAGAATGCATTAGCCAGCAAGGTGACCAACAAAACACAGGACTGCCTTAGCATTGACATCAGATCAAATGAGATAACACATGCCAAATACTCAGCACAGCACGGTTCCTGGCACTCAACAAATAATAAATCTCTTCCCCTTGTATACTATACTGTGTAATACTGAGTATAGATTTTAAGAGTTTAAACAGTATACAGTTTGTAATTGTAAAAATCTATGCAAATCTATGCTGTATGTAGATTTTACAGTTTACATAGCACTTTTGAATACATTAAGCCCTTTCCTTCCCCCATACCTTGTGAATCAGATATCTCCCGCAGAGTAGTGACTTGACCTCCCAAAAATAGCACATCTGAAAAACTCCAAGGCTGAGAGTCAGACCTAGGTCTTCAGACACCAAAGCAAAATCCCTTTTCCCTGCACTGCAGATCCTTCCATGGTCTTGTCCTAGACTTAAGACTACAAAAACTTGGACTTGAGTGCTAACAGTGGGATAAAGATGAAAGAATGACCTGTGAATTCCGGGGTAGCAGAGGTTTTTGGAGCCTTGTAATTATACATCCTTATTCGTAAAATAACAAAACTGCATCTGTCTATTGCAAGACACATACATTGTCACTTGTGAGATCGAGGCATGGCTTATAACTGATGATATTTTACAGTTGTTGCTGCCGCGCAGCAGTTGTGATGTAGTTGTCGTTTTCTGAGGTAGTTGTCATTGTCTGCTCATACACAAACTTGGTTGTTATTCCTGGTGGCATGACTGAGCAACTGACACCCACGGACATTTCAGTGCGCTGTCTTAAGGACCATATGAACAAATTAGGAAGCCTAGTTGTAGCCTGAAAACCTTCCAATGACACTTTGCAGTAAGATCAAGAAAGTACCAAAACTTACAGAATGAGTGTCAGAGGCCTGGGAAAAACCTCAGAAAAAAAATGGTTGAGACCTGCCCGTGGAATGCTGCGTCACCAGTACTCTTGATGCAACACTTGTAATACCGCATTGAAAAGCACAGACGCCAATGACTCAGAGTCAAAAGTGATTCAGACTCTGAATGTGAAGACGTTCTGGCCTGCTGAATAATTTCCTGGATATTTTCCTTTTATTAATGCACAAGGGTGATACATGATAAAAATCAATGTTTACACAAATGGAAACAAGTACTTTTAGCGAGGGCTGATGACAAGAATGTGTAGGGCCAAAGATGAGTTTACAGCATCATTTTCTTTCTTAGTAGCAAATGTTGTGCCTTTCAAGCAGTAGTATCTTAGATTCAGTGAAAATAGTCAGATTATATTTATATAAATGCTTTGAAATTCATACAGTCAACTCATTTTGATCATCACAACAACCTCGTGACATTAGGAGCAAAATATCATCTCTAATTTTACTTCTGGGGAAAATAAGGTAGATTAAATAATCTACTCACACAACCCTAGAATCAGGATAAGAACATCATCCTCGTTCAGTCCTCTAGAATAAGCCCCAAAACCTCCTTTACTCTCTAACATTTCAAGCTTTCTATAAACTTAGAGCCACTGCTTTTTTATGAAAGGGAACCTATCTCATGAGATTGACTATAATAGTTCAGAATAAATATTGAACATGACTCCCTTTTGGCAAGGAAAGTGAATTGTCAGGGTTCTAACAACAAAAAAAATCACTGTTGCACAAAGCCTAGTACACATAAAAGGTTTCAAATAAATAATAGCGGTTGTAGTAGTACTCAGGGGTTAATACTGGCTATGCCAGCAGTCAAACCCTAAATTCTCAGTGGCTTAAATAACAGAAATTTGCATCTCACACATGCCATGTATCTAGCATGGGTTTGCAAGCAGTGGAAGTTATGCTGTTCACCTCACCTTCACTCAGTGCTGTGGTTTGAATGTTTGTGTGCTCTCCAAATTTCATGTTGGAACGAAACCCTCAATGTGATATTATTAAGAGGTGAAGGCTTTAGGAGGTGATTCAGTCATGAGGGCTCCACCCTCATGAGTCGGATCAATGCTTTATAAGAGAGGCTTTACATAGCATTTCTCCCTTTTTGCCCTTCATTACACCATGTGAAGACAAGGAATCAGCTTGAAAAAGTGACTGGGCCCTCATCAGACACCAAATTTGCTGGTGCCTCGATCTTAAATATCCCAGCATCCAGAACTCTAAGAAATGCATTTCTAAGCTGGGCGCAATGGCTCACGCCTGCAGCCCCAGCATTTCCGGAGGCTGGGGTGAGAGGATTGTCTGAGCTCAGGAGTTTGAGACCAGCCCGGGCCACTTGGCGAGACCTCATCTCTACAATAAATCAAAAATTTGCTGGGTGTGGTGGCATGCACCTGTAGTTCGAGCTAATTGGAAGGCTGAAACAAAAGGGTCACCTGAGCCCAGCACGTTGAGGCTGTGGTGGCCATGAGTGTGCCACTGCACTCCAGCCTGGATGACAGAGAAAAAAAGAAATAAATTTCTATCATTTAGAAACATCCTGTCTCAGGTACTTTTTTTTTTTTATAGCAGCACAAAATGACTAAGACAGAAACTGGAACTGAGAATGGGGTATTGCTATAATAAATAGCTAAAATGTGAAATCGGCTTTGGAACTAGGTAGTAAGTAGGGTCTGGAAGAATTTGCAGGTGCATGCTAGAAAAAGCCTGGATTGCCATGAAAGAAGCAGAGTATTAAGCGTGATTCTGGTGAGACTTCAGAATAAGAGAACTGTGGAGAGAACCTAAATCTTCTAAGAGATTAATTAAATGGTGGTAGTACCCAGAATGCTAGGAGAAATATGCACAGCAGAGGCCATTCTGATGTGGTCTCAGATGGAAATGAGGAACAAAGTATTGGAAACCAGAAGAAAGACCATTCTTGTTATAAAGTGGCAAAGAGCTTGGCTAATTTGTCCTAAAGCTTTGTGGAAGGCAGAACTTGCAAGGGATGATTAGGCTATTTGGCAGAATAACTATGTAACCAAAGTGTTGAGGATGCTGCCTGGTTCCTTTTGACTGTTTATACTAAAATGCAAAAAGAGATGAATTAAAGATAGAATTAAAAGGAAAGAAGAAGATCTGGAAAATTCTCAGCCTGGTGCTAAAAATCATCTGGGGTACAATACAATTTTAAAGCATTTATTTGAGTGAGAAGCAATTCATAAATTGGGGAGCACCAGACCAAAAAAAGTCTAGTGATTTTTATTTTTTTGAGTCCG